TCGCCAGCTGCAGCAGCAATCCTGTGACTTGGGAGCAGTCATTAATGTTCAAGCTAGTACAGCTCTGAGAGGGATGTATCTTACAGTTCGAAATGCCCGTAAGTAAGGTGCATTTTAACTACTGAAAGGAAAGAGAAACAGTACGCAAGATAGAAAGAGGTTTCACAGCACAGCAATGCTGATATATACAGAACTGCATCAGCTGCCTGCTCAGAAGAAAAAAACTGACAATGAGTCACCTCATTTGACAGTGTGAGAAATAGATAACCAATAGATAGACCAAACTACACATGTGCTCTTTCCATGGCACTGATGTAGGTAGTCTCAAACTGAAAAAATACTTACTCATATGGATGAAACACGAGGAAATGCATGGAGGAGACCAACTTTCTATTAATATTTCTTCTTTTTAGGTCTCTCTGATCTTTTTGTGAAGTGAAGAAATGTTATTCCTTTTGATACAACATTTCTCCGTAGATAGGCAATGAATAGAAATGATCAATATTTTTTCTGAAAATATTCGTTAGTATATTTTAATTTTTAATGCAAGGTCATATAGATCTAAGGATAGCCATTTTTTGATGTGTTTGAGTCAAATAAAGACATAGGAATCAGAACAAAATTTGCATTTTATACAAAAAATAAAACTGGAAAGGATCTTAAGTAATCTAGTCTCCATTATTCCATTTGAAAGTCCCCTTTTTTCCAATGCCAAATCTAAAACTTCGTTTCTGGATTTTAAGTCCTGTTTAGCACACTTACAGAGACATGTTCTATTCCATTCTTCTTTGTGATTGTGTTCCTCTTAGCTTTCTCATTTAGTCCCAAGCCCCTCATTTATCTCAACATTTCACTGTAAATAATTTTTTCCCTAGATTTCTGGTAATCCTCACTGTTTCCTCTCTAATTGGTCCACTTGTTTCTTTAAACACTGTGCCCAAAATTGAACGTGTTTTTCGAGCTGATGCTTTACAACTATAAAGAGAGTGAAAGGATTATATGACACCAACTTTTCTCTTTGTTTACAGTGATCAGCAAAGCAGCTATTGAGAGGAAATTTTACCCTTTGTTGGAGGGTATGGCATACAAATAATTAAAAAGTGCCACTTGCAATCAAACTATTGAGATTGCACATGCTGCACAGGTTTCACTTAAAAAGAATGAATATTCATAGCAAATAGTTTTAATTTGTGTGCCGAGTGATAAATTCACCATTAGCACTGCCTCATTTGGTAACATAACCTATTCAATTGTACTTTATATAATTACGTAATGGGAAAAACAAATATTCTACTGTGCACTTTTCATTTAACACTTTCTTAACAAGAAATTTGTGACAGTACTGGGATGCATTTGAAGATGCTTATGAAGATTTAAATTTTAAAAGCATTTTCCTTCCAAATACTTTTTTTTTTTTCGGAACAGAGAATTGTTTTTCCCATGCTATAGATGAGGGAACCAAGAAAGAACTGATTATTTTGTGAAGGTCGTGAAAATGGCCAAGGTAGGACAAGAACTCCAGACCTGAGGATGTAATTCTACATCCTGTGTTAGGTCCCTTAGATATCGGTGCATACCTACACCGGGGGGAGAAAGGAAAAGAATAGAGCTTGCTTTTGAACACACACTACACACACACAGGGAGACATACACAGACACATATTTGATTCTTTTCCAGTTCCTCCAACTTACATTCATTTCTGTGTAGGG